TTTACGGTATATTGACCGTAAATCAGCATGGATACAACGCGTTGTAGAACGGATATTTACGGTATAATTTCCGTAGATATGTATTTTCGCAGGTGCAATGAAGTGCGGTAGACGTGGGATTACTAATATTCGGTTCTGCATCGGTTTGCGAGTTTGGCATGCGTCGCTTGGCCATCGGCGCGGTACGGCCGACGTCGGTGGAGCCTCCTCATGGCCGCTCCTGCGTAGCTCACGGCGGCTGGCCTCTTGCGCCCATGTCCCTATGGCAACTACAGCTCAACGTATTCAAGGGACGGCTGCATCGGCGACGAGGTCTTCTGCATTGTCGACCGCGCCTGCTTGGTACGAGCGACCGTGTATCACTGAGCTACCTGCAGCACAGCTGGGCGTAGGACACGCGAGGCTACAACAAGGGCGACATCCTCTCCGACAGCGACATGAGCCAGAGCTCGATCACCGTCCTAGGTGCGACCTTTCGTGGACTACAGGGTCATGCAACACCTCGTAGACTCGGCGGAGCACATGGCACAGCTGCCACGAACAGCGGCCCTCGACATGTATGTGTTTGATCGATCCGCCCACGCTGCAGGGTTCGTAGCACGTTCCACGCCACCACGATCCGCAGCGTTGGCGACCTCTCGTCGGCCACGAACACCCGCGCCATGTAGGTTTATGCTCCCAATGAGTGATGTAGCAGGTGCACTCCATCTAGTCACTTGGTCAACGTCGTGGGCCTGGACCTGGCGAATGCAGTCTTTCCGTCGTCGCTACTCGAGTTGTAGGTATAGTTCTTCGTGCTGCAAGACCTCATATCTGGTCCTAGCTCCATCTCTGGTTCACGTCAAGAGAAGCTACCAAAAGGACTCTTGTACAGCCGACTGCAAGCACTGTACGTACGTACCTCGTGCCGAGCGGTCGTCATCCCGATGCGCAGGAATGCTGACTCAAACCGACTCACACAAGTGGCAGACCTGGACCTGCGCGGCGCCAGCACAGTGTACGCTTTGTATCGGACAGCGAGTGCACTTGACAAACGTCATAGTCGCTTTGATCTCAACCCGATCACAGTCCTCTCCAACGTGTCGTTCAGCTCCAAGCTCGAGAAACTGTGGGTTCCAGTGTAGTCTGGTGTCCCACTCAACTTCTTTGGGCTAGCAATCTTGGCGGGTTGCACCTCACAACGTTTCTCGTGGACCCGGAATCGTACGACGCGCTGCAGGACCGCGTCACGGACGTTGGCAGCATCGACGTGTCAAATTGCGTCTTCCCAAACGCTGTGCGGATCCTGCAGACCAAGACGCGCTCCGTGTCCGTGTGTGTGACCCCGGGTAGCGTCTACTTGTCAGACGGCTGCACTAGACCACGTGTACTTGGTAGATTCGATGCTGTCAAGTCGACCTCAGAGTCTGCCGACGACCCCGATGACCTCGACAGCCGCAGTGGCCACCTCGAGTGGTAGCGAAGCGCCAGTTCTTGTCGGCGCCGTCGTTGGTGTCCTACTTTTGCTTGTGTTGGTGGTGACGTGTGTTCGTCGACAACGACGGTCGCGAGTTATGTAAGCACCTAGTCGTCGTGGCACATGTTCGATGCGTCCCACTAGGAAAGAGGCAAGCAACTTTGACGAGCTAGCAACGGCCACGTCAGGGTCCGTGTCGTCACTTCAACTGAACTTTGACGTAAGAACGTCCACATTGAGTGCACGATAACGGACCCTCTGCACACTAGGACTTGGAGCTCCTGCGACTCGACGACCAAGTCTTGGTCAAATCGTCGTTCGTCGCAGAAGGCGCGTTCGGCCAAGTGTGGCGCGGCCAGTACCGAGGTCGTCCAACCTCAATACGACGTTCATCGCCATAAGTACTTGGTGCGTAGACGACCCCGTGGCCATCAAGACGCTCTTACCCGGCCGGGCATCGCGCGACGCCATCGTCAGCCTCGTGAGCGAAATTCAACTGGCCGCCAAGTATGGCAGCGCTGCTCAATAATCGCTTAATTCGTTTCTTCGACTAGAATGGACAGTCCGTTCATCGTGCGCCTGCGGGGTGCCGCCTGGCGCATCCCCTCCGAGCTGCAAATGGTCTCCGAGTGGATGGACAGGGGCGACCTCAAGGTCGTGCTCGAGACGTCGCTCTTGCCATGGGAAGATAAAGTGGCGTGCATGCTCTCGATCGCTGAAGGGCTAGTCTATTTGCACTCAATGGAAGTCATCCACCGGGACCTCAAGTCGCGAAATGTGCTCCTCGACTCGGTCAAGGTACGATGAAGACGCTGGAGATAGAGATGTGATCGAATGCAGGGCACGAAGCTCGCCGACTTTGGTGCATCGCGCGAGATGACGACCGAAACGATGACAAACGGCGTCGGCACGTACCGCTGGATGGTAGGATCGATGCAGACAACTTGGAGGCGCTAACACATTGGGGCAGGCACCCGAGATCCTGCGGGACACGCACTACACGTCCGCTGCCGACGTGTACTCGTTCGGGGTCGTCCTCTCGGAGCTCGCGACCCACCGGACGCCATACTATGACGTGTGCAACGACCAAGGCAGGCGATTTAGCTCCCATCGCAGTCGCTTCTCACAGTGAACGTAGGCTACCCACTCGCCGAGACGGCGATTATTAGCCGCGTGGCACAAGGCGTGCTCCAGCCAACGATCCCACCCGAGCTGTGCCCCCATTGGGTGCGAGAGCTAGCGCTCGCTTGCCTTTCGATGGCTCCAGAGGACCGTCCGAGTGCCATTCAAGTCGCCCACTGTATCGACACCCACGCGTCATACGACCGATGAATACAGCTCTCCACCTTCGGTCGCCTTGGAGGATAGCAGTGGGGCACGCCGCTTGCGCAATGCTGCAACAGCGGTTAGGGTGGGGAACCAGGACGCTAGTACAGGCGAGCGAGCGCACTGCTTTTGCTTGTTCAACCGGTCGCAACGATGTTCAAGACTGAGCACGTGAAATCTCTCAACTAGGACCAGCGGTCGCTGACCGTGGAGCTCACCAGCAAACGCCGGCTTCTTCGCCGTGCTTGATCAGCGCAGCAGCATCGACGAGGTGGGAAGCTTCACCCAAAGCAAATATCTTTCGGTGGTGGCCAATGAGAGCGCGCGTATGCCGTGCATTTTGGCCAATCACATACCGCTCGCGGCCACTGAGAGAGGACAATCTACTGAGTCCACGCGTTTGTCCGAGGGCAAGGGTATTGACGTTGCTGGTGTCAACCTGGAGGCCGCTTTGAGCCCACAACCCGGCAGCATGGTCGTCTTCTTCGGTGGCTTCTCCATCGCACCGGCTGCGATAACGGCTTCTCGCCTGGCGTGAAAAATGTGGGCAGGGGAATGAAGAGGATGGGACAGTGCAAGGTTCCTTCCATGCTTTCGAGGCTCCGTGGCTGACCACTTTGCAACTCGCCACCTAGAGCATGCACCGTTCACTGATCGTGGCCGCGCTCGTCGCGTCGGCAGCTGCGCAGTTCACGCCTGGCACGTGCAACAAGGAGCTCACGGACGCCGCATTCGCGTGCGCCAAGCTCTTTCCTAGCGCGTCGGGCTCGCCAGCCGAGTCGTTCAACAAGATTGCGTCACCCGACGGCCATTTGCGCATCTGCTACGGCGACGCGCCCGAGTGCAACGACCTCCAGCGGCTTGCGCTCACGCCGGCTGGCGACTGCACAGTCCAGGTCTGGAAGGGCGGCTACGTCAACCTCAAGACGATCATCTCGCCATGCCCGAGCCCGCTTCCGCCGCGCGTCCAGGAGAAGCGGCTGTGCACGGCGACGGGGCTGATCGTCTCCGAGTTCTACGGCCGCATTTACACGGACATTGTCCGCCACAACGACAACGAGATCTTCCTCTACAACGTCATCATCAAGACGCTCGTCGCCAAGAGCAACGGCCAGTGCTTGGAAGCCGTGCCCGGCCCGCCGCACCCGTACTTGGGCGACGGCGGCGTCATGACGGTCCCGTGCCGGCCGTCGGAGCCGCTGCAGCAGTGGACCTTCCAGGACCAGCGCGTCGCGGCAACGACCGCCGGGATGGCCTCCTTCTGTCTCAACACCAACCCGTTCCTACGCGGGTCGGGCGCCAACGTCGCCCCATGCAACGTGGGGCAGCTCTCGACGACTACGTTTGTCGATTGCGCGAGCCTCACGACGTCGTACATCACCATCAAGACGCTCAAGAGTGGCAACCGCCTCAGCGAGTACTACACCAGCCTGTACGCCAACGCGCCGGCCAACAACTACAACGAGCTCTTCGTTTGGGACCAAGCCAACAAGATGCTCAAGGTCGCCAGCAACAACCAGTGCTTGGACGCGTACAAGGACAACGCCGACGGCAAGGTCCAAGTGCACACGTACCCGTGTGACGTCAACAACGGCAACCAGAAGTGGAACTACAACACCAACACCAAGACGCTCGAGCACGCGACCCACGCTGGCCAGTGCTTGGACGCCGACCCGACGTACGCCGACCACCACGCGCAAATGTGGGCGTGCACGCCCAACAACATCAACCAGCAGTGGTCCCTCGATACCTTCTTTGGCTGATTGCACACTTGATACATTGATACTTTCTGGAAAATACAGGCGTTGTAGCTTGCTTTCGATGGCGTTGGCTCTCGAGGGCATTGTGCAGCGTTCGTATGTATGCTGGAAGGCCTACCCAGGGGTAACTTTTATGTGCCCTTGGACCTACTCTTTGGCATCGCTCCGAGCGCAGCAGTGGAGCGACGCCACTGAGCGAATTAGAAAAGGTGAGCACGAATTACGCTAAAACCTACCTCGCGACGCCAGTTTCATTCGTCGATGGCCTGGCGCTGGGCCGCGATCAGCAGCGCTTTAGCCATGGCCATGGCCGCCGGTACACTGCGCAAGGTTGCTTCCTCGAGCTCATGTAGCAACCATGGTAGGCCCTGCCTTTACGTCGACGCTCGTGCAGCTCAACCGTTGCACGCCGTCGTCGACGACCGCGGCTTGCCTCGCGTACGAGCGCTGCAAGGCGACCCATCGCTGCGGCCGCGCGGTCGAAGGTACTGAACGCTCGCTTGCTGCCAACGCTCGAGCGTCTCTAGAGTACACGATTGCGACGGCAACGCTGCAGAGCTTTGGGCAGCAGTTTCCCCAAGGCAACCGCACGGCGATTCCGCTCATGAACGACTTTGAAGACTGGAAGACAGGCATGCTCGGGTGGCGCATCACGCCCCGTACGTCCTCGTCTTGCAGGAAGAGGCAGCGAAACGCAAAGCGTAGACTTTGCGCCGCCCACGCCGTTTGGCCTCTCGACGTACGCGTGGCCAGTCCTCGGGTCGCTCGAGCTCGCGCAAGGCAACATCCTCATCGATACGACGACCGCTCGCATCTACGGCGACGTCACGCTGCAGGGCGTCGTGACGCGCACGGCGGCCAACACGACGGTCGCCGTCTTCAACTTTCTCACGCTCTACCTCGTACATGGTCCAAGATTACGATGAATGCCATGGTCTCTTGTCTAGGGCGACCAAGTCCGGGTGCAGCTCAAGGGCGTAAACGCACTCGTGCTCCTCAGTCGCAGCAGCGCAGTCATCGACACGCCGCTCGTGGCCCCGCCGGGCCTGCTCGGAGGGTTTCCCGGAGGCGAGTACTCTGCAGCGTACAACGTCAACGGCCCGGGCAGCAGCAATGTGCGCGTGTACGTGCACACGATCTCGACGACCGCGACGGTGTCGCCAACGATCCAGCAAGTGAGTACGCGCGCGGCCCCGGGTCAGACCATTCGAGGTGCTTGCTTTTTGCTCGCTTTTTGCTCGCTTTTGCTCGATTGAATGATCCCTGAGACTAGGAACGTTTGTGCTGCAGCTGCGCCAGGTTAACTCGTCTGAAATTCCCTATGACGCGTCGGCGCAAGCCGTCAAGCGTATCATTGAAGACAGCTTTGCGTCCGTCCACGTAGGCATCGTCGACGTACGTTCTAGTTGACTCGTGTTTTCTACTAAAGTGGACCAAATAGGTCCAAAAGGTCGGCCAAGACATCGCCAGTGTTGGCCGCGCGTGGCGCATCACGTTCATGACCGCCGTTGGTCAAGTGCCGCTGCTCACGAGCTTCTCTCGGCTCACGGGGCTCGACTCGAGCGTGCAAACTAGCCTCCTGGCGCCTGGTCGATCCCGTAGTACCTACTTTCACTAACCTAGCCCCAGGCAACCAACTCGACGGGTACTTTCGGCTGCGATTCCTCGGACAGCTGTCGCCGCCGATTGCATACAACATCAAGCCTCGCGAGTTTGAGGTGAGCAATAGCTCTGTCTCTTGGTCGCTCGACTCGTTTGACACGTCTAGACGCTCTTACTGCAGGCTTTCAATCTCACTTCGGCGTACGTGCAGCGCTCGGACCCCCTCGACCAGTGCGCCCAAGGAGGTACCATCGTCATCGCAAGGACTGCGATCGAGCTTGAACCAGGCTACGCTGGCCAGCCCAGTTCGAGTGAACCTGCGTGGCTTTTGCCCGACTCGGCCAACCCACAACCGCCGCTCTGCGGCTCGGCACCGACCAGCGTACGAGGCTACGTCTGGAACGTTCAAGTCACCACGACTCGGTGCGGAGGATGGAGAGACTTTTCTACATCCCGTGGGCTAGTGGCAACGTCAGCCCGACGAGTCCGACATCCTTTGTGACGCCCGCGCCGCTCGACGCGTTCGTGGCAGTCACCGCCAACTCGGAAGGACCAACGCTGCTGGGTGCAGGCGCCTCGATCATCATCTCGAGTGCTCTTGGGTTTTCGATGGCTTATGGTAACTCCTCTCCTGGAAAGACGACCTCACGTCCCGCTAGGTGGGGCCGGTGGGGCCTACGGGGGCGTCGGTGGCCCGGGGTATAGCAGTCCACTGCCGCTGTCGACCTACGGAGATGTGGTACTTTGCCGCAGACTTTGATCAACTGCTCATTGAGCTGCCAGGCGATATCGGACCTTCTTGGCGGCAGTGGCGGCGCCGGTGGCGGCCAAGTCGCCGTCGACATATTGCCGCATCCGCGACCAATCCTTGGCGGCGCTGGCGGCGGTGCGTCCACCAATACCTTCATTTTTCGTGTGTAACTATACCACTAGGTGCCATGTACATTGGCGCCATCAACGACGTGACGATCGGACCGTCGGGATTGCTCTCTGTGAACGGCGCCCCCGGTGAAGCGGGTTTCTTTCCGGGCGGCGGTGGCAGGTACTTGAAACCTTGATACTGTTATGCAATTGTGGATCTAGTGGCGGATCTCTCGTATTGACCAGTGGCACGAACGTGCACGTCCTCGGCGTACTCCAAGCAGTGGGCGGCGCTGGCGGCAGCAGCAGCCAGTACCCGCTCGGCGGCGGTGCAGGCGGCGGCGGGCGCATTAGCGTCCAAGCCCACGCGTACGCCGTTGCACCGACCGGTGCGATGCTCTCGCAAGGCACTTTGCACTTGGACCTCCAAACTCAACTCCAGTGTACGATTTTTGCATTTGGATATTCTTTCTGTTGAGTTTTGAGTTTGATTCCAGTGTCCCACGACCCGTTTCGAGGCGCGGCCCAAACCACCAAATCGCTCTACTTGGCCAAGTACACGCTGGACCCGAACCCGCGCATGGAAGGTCCTGCGTACTCGTTCCCGCCGTCGCAGCCGGCACGCATCTCGTACTTCACCATGGTCGGCGCGACGCAAGAAGGGACACTCGCCACGAACCGAGGTGCGGTATTCAACTGTCTCGATTGCGTTTGCTAAGAGCCAACGAGGTGCGGTGTTTGGGGTTGTCGGTGTCGCCGACGCCACCACCTTTGTCTGGGCCATTGGGCTCGTCAACGGCCGCTTCACATTCGGCGCTGGGCTTCCGACGCATGCACAGCCGCTCCGCGAGCTCTACGCCGAGCCCGTCGTGCCCTTCCGATGGTATCAAGTTGATGTTTTCATGGACTGGACCCGCTCCACGCTCTCGATCCGACTCGATGGCGTCACGGTCGCCGCCGACGTAGCCTTTGCGACAGGTATGTATTGCATCTATGACTTGTATGGGAGTTGAGACGCGGACGTAGACAAGTTGTCTTCTGTTGGCATCTACCTCGCTGATGCGATGCAGACGTGGTGGGATGAGATCTACGTCGGCACCGACGAGACGCTGCAGTTTGCATGCCCCCGCATGAACCCCGTCACGGGTCAGCTCTCGGTGGCTCCGCGACCGCGCCCGCTTTGGAACACCGCCGTTCTGGGCCCGGCCACCACGTTCAGTGGCAAAGTAGACTGTGATGGATGCACATTCGTTGTAGGTGACTGCGTGGCTAGGTCCGACACGCTAGCCACGTCTCTGCCCGTCCTATCTACGCCTATAACGACGGCGGCTTGGTCCCAAACGACGGACCGGCGCACCGGTCGTACTTGAACGATATTCGGTAGCGACCGATGCTCCTATGTGACGGATTCCACCTCGTCAACTAGGGATGCGCGAACCTACGACGGGTCGGACGATGCGCTGATCAGTCTCGGCGAGCTGCTCAATGTTCCTCTTCCACTGGACCCTTCGATCGTGCTGCCGTTGACGCCGAGTCCGGACGCGTCGCCACAGGCCTCCTTGCGCACCCCCAACGGTGCGACGACAAGCCTCTCCAACTGCGCACGATGGCGCTTTCGTAGAGACTGACTACTGGTACAGTGAAGTGTATGGCAGTAGCGGCGGTATCGGCGCCTGCTCGACCAATGACGGCGGCCGCACGTGGCGCAACGAAGGCGTGATGCTGCATTTCGCCAACTTGACCGACCCGTTTGGCAATACGCTGCAACAGTCGCTGCGCGCGTCGCGGCCCAAGGTACATAGAATTCACAAACTTTGATTTGCGAACTTACTCGTGCCAGGTGGTTCTCAACCCGAATGGCCAATTTGTCTTGTGGATGCACGTCGACAACGCTGCGAATCAGGTCTTTCTTGCTGTTCACGATACCATTTACGAAATATGCAGATGGGCCTGAGTGGCGTCGCGGTTGCTGCGTACCCCAACGGACCATTCGAGTTTCAACGGAGTTTCTACCCGATGGCGGCGACCGAGGCACCGGGGGGGCAGCCCATCAACGAGACACACGACCAAACTGTCTTTTGCGCCAGCGAATCGGTGCTTCTTCTGTTTGTGATTCGTGAAATTTACGAATTGAAACTTGTAGGAAGCCTTCTTAGTGCAGAGCTACTACAAGACGGTCGAGTACTGGTTGCCACGGCCCATCATGGACCCGCTCTGGGAAAGCGTCAAGCACTCGGACGGCTCGACGTACTACGCACTCACCTACCACCGCGCCTTCTTTTCTGATGCGTTTGATGCACAACTTGGCGCTACCTCGAAAGACCCTGTCGTTGTAGGTACGACAACGTCGACGACATCTACCTCCAGCGCTTTCGGTCCGAAGACATTGACTGGAGTATCTCGTGCTGCAACCGCACGACTAACGTGTGCTCGCCCAGCGTCGTGAGTACGTTACTATCGAGTTGATACATTGAAACTTGAAGGCGTACGGTACAGTCGCCAACCGATATTGTCCGCCGCAGTACCGCAAACAAGTCAACGGCCAAGGTCAAGGCGGACGCGCGATCCAGTCGCGCTACAAGGCACGACGAGACGACCGTCGCAACTGAGCTAATACACCTGAATAGGACCCCAATGACCCCGAGAACAATGCGTTTCGAGCGCACTCGGTGCCTTCGCACACAGACTGGGGCTTCCCCGTATACAACATCAAGGTCGACGATCTCAGTACATCCAAACTGACGGCTGGCGCGATGCTTAGACGTGGCGGGGCTCATACTTTGATGCCCTCGCGACCAACATCACGCGACTCCTCTTTGAAACGTTTGCGGGCATGTCGAGCACCTACGCGACGCCTCCGTCCCTCCAAGTGAGCGCCATTTTGTATGCAACCAAGACAGAATCATTGCTGTCGCTAGGTCACGTACCCGCTGCCAGGCGAGAGTGCGCCGTTCATCAATGTAAATGACCCGCCCAACGTCCTCGAGCTGATCCTCGACACGATGGGCGTGCCGCTGCCGCGGTCGTTCGTCGCCAAGTTTGACGAATTTGACATGACGTACATTGACGGGAACGGCGACAACAAAATTACACTGGACGAGCTCGCGGCGCTGGTATTACACTGTATCTTTACACTGTATCGGACCAGGTTTCGTAGCAAACGACCGGCATCAAAGTGCTGAGTACGGCGACGTACAACCAATTTCAAACAGAGTTTGCGGCGCTGAAACGCGCCCAACTCCAAGCGCTCAACCCCAACGGCGACGACAAAGTGACGTACGCAGAGTTCACCGCGTGGATCGGCAACGACCCTGGCCTCATGTTTGACCGCTTCGACTTGGACAAATCTGGGTTCCAAAACAGTGTAATTTACAGTGTCTATTGACGCGACGTAGGTACTTGGACGAGAACGAGCTCTCGCGCTTCTTCATTGACCGGCAGCTTCCGCGCCTGGACCTGATTTCGATCCTTCTGGATCCCGACTTTGACGGCCGCGTCTATTACGATATGTTTGAGAGCTTTGTGCTCAATGTATGTATCAATGTATCAGTTGGCGACCTTGATAACCTGGTTTGGACAGGCCACGACGGTGCTCTTTGTCCAGTACGACTTTGACCGCTCCAACAGCCTCGACAGCAGCGAAATCGCATTGCTCGAAGCCGACCTTGGCGTCACCTTCCTCGACACCTCGGTCCTCGCACAGCTTGTGGACCCGACCTCGCATCTGTACGTGTTCAGTTGTCGTCCATCTCGGAGAGTCTGGGAAATTAGGTTGACGTTTACGGCGTACCAGCAGTGGATGAGCGCTTCGACGAGCCTCGTTCACGATCGCGTCCAGCAGTTCGAGCAGCGTCTATATCAACGAGAGGCTCACAACTATGTACTAGGTATAAAATCGACAATGCGATCGTATCGACGCAACCCGACCGGATGACGGGCCCTCTCCACGTCGTTGAGCAGCGCCGGGCAAAGTACCTCAGCATCGCCCGCCTCTCGCCCGACTTTCTCTCGACCGAGGTATTTTTCCGATCTTTAATGTTTTTTACGAATCGCTCAACGACATTAGACCCTCGTGGTTGAATTGGAAGGCGACTTTGACGGCGAGGGCTCGCTTGTCGACTTTGCGCGGTTCAACATTGCGTTTGCGGATCTCAGTGCTAGCTCGACGCCTCCGCGCACGGTGCCCTTTCGTCAATTCCTCGGTACACCTAGTACTCGCAAGATTACCCTAACCCGCGCCATGGTAGCACCGGCGGACTTTGGCCACGTGGCCAGTTACTGGAACGGCTTCCAGTGGGAGCTCCGACCGTCGGCGCCGCCTCGCTTCACTTACGGTATGTCATTCAGAAGACGCTGTGACGCAAGCGTGTCATTTAGGAACCGAGTGTACGACGCTCACACCGACCAACAACGCCGACTGCCTCCCGTGTGCGTCGCAGTCGCCGTACATGTCGCCCCTTGTGCTGCAGTACCAGAGCCTTGTGCCTACGCTCGACCAGTGCCGCAACGACAAGGCGCTCGACGCGTACATCAAGCAGTTTGACCAGCAAGTGTCGATCACGCTGCGGTGCGCCTCTAGATTCTACAGCGCTCGTTGTTACGTGGACGGTGGTAGCTTTGAGCAAGTGGCTCAGCTGACCTCGGCGGGCGTCCAGCCGCACTACACGCCGTGCTTCAACCACTCCGAGTCGGTGCCATGCGACGTCTTTCAGGCGTACGAAGGCAATGTCGGCGATACGGCGCTGGCGACACCGTGGAACGTGGCGTGGGACCGCAGCCTGCGCAACGTCGGCACGTCGACCAAATTGCGCGCGAGCCCGATGCAGCAAACGTCGTTCGGCCAAACCTACGCCGAGCGGTACCCGGATCGCTTCCGGACACCGCCCAGCACGCTCTATATCAACTCGACCAACGTGCCCGACCAGTACGCCAATGTCCTCGGCGGCGGCTAGCGTTTTCAACATATAACAACCAAAAATTGTACTGTACATGTGCACAACATGTCTAGTAGGCTAGAGACACCACGCAGACGGCTCGTTCGGTCGCTGGATCTCGTAGACGAGTGGTTGTGTCGTTTGAGGAACGAGCAGCGCCGCTTGCGGAGGCAGTGTCAGAACGTTGAACGGGAACGAGGACGCGGTGCTGGCGTCACCGATGCTCTGTGTGTCCATGCAGCAGAGCAAGCTCAGTCGCAGCGTCTCTTGGCGTTGGCCATTGCAGTAGACAGTGAGGAAGCAGTCTGTAGCGCGCAAGCTGATCGTCGGGCAGCGCTTGAGGTGCGGATCGCGCTCAATGGCTTGGTGGACGTTGCCGCCGAGTGCGGTGGCCCCCGGTGGAATGAGCCGGAAGCAGTCAAAGACCAGTCGGCTCTTGAAGTTGCTGTACGTATAGCTGCTGTAGTTGGGCCGACGAGACGCCCGACAGCAACCTAAACCGTCATTTTAACTTTACATTGAAACAACAAGGTGCGGACAGTGGCGGAGTAGCGGGGCGCAAAACCCGTAGAGCACGGGCAAGATCGCAATGTTGAGTGTGTAGACCAAGATCGCCAACGACACTTCGACCTGGTCGTCTTGGGCGCTGACCGGCAAAAAGTATGCAAAAGACCACTGGTAGAACGCCACCATGAACGGCACTTGGCCGTTGAGCGACGTGAGGACAGGCCCGTAGACGCTCACCGCGATCGCGAGGAGCGTTGGGTCGACCTCGGAAAATTTGTGCTCGATCGCGTAGCGCTTGAGCAGTCGAGAGACGAGGCAGAGGCTCCAGTACGCGAACCAGACCTAGTCGAGTGATGGCATCGAGCACTCTGTAGTTGAAAGTACCGTGCGCGAGAGGTAGGTGGCGCTGAGCACTTTGATGTAAAAATTGGCCGACTGCATTTGCTGGATGACGGCCATGGCGAGGTTGGTGACGCTGAGCCACACGTCAATGTAGAAGGCCGACGCGATCCACGGGTCGAGGAGCACGATGGCTGTTGGGTCGCCCGCGAGCACTTCGTACGTCCAAGCGCCCGGCTTGTGGCGGTGGCCGCACCTCCTGACCGTGGCTTCGAGTGCCAGGACATGCACATAGTACCGATGCCAGAGGCGGTGCCACACTAGCAGCGTCGTCGCAAGTCGGTACACGAGCTTGATCCAGGCCCACGAGACCCACGGCCGTGGCAAGGAAGCGTATGTCAGGGTTACGACCTGCGCGTCACTCGTGTTGTGAATATCGTCACCCGGCGTGAGCCAGAGACAGCTCCGGCCGTACGGGATCGCGCAGATGACATCGACGGTGCACGCGCCAGCCCAGTCGAGCACCGTAGACGAATTGGACGCGGATAGAATGGTGCACACGAGCTGGAGCTGTTTTGGCCGGTAAAAGATCAGTCCTGGGAGCCCCAAGAGATAGGTCGAGATGCATTTGTCCAGCGTGAGATTCGCTTCCATACCGAGGTGAAGCGTCTGGCGTCCGACCTGGGCGAGCGTGCTACCGTCAACGACGTACGTTGCACCCAATGGCAGCGTGCTGCTGTTGTAGAGACGTTGGAGGCGACGCGTGAGGTTGGCGTCCGAGTCGCTCTCAAAGACGGTCTCGGGGAAGCTGGGACGAAGCGTCCAAGGAAACGACTCGGAGATGTATGCAGAGAGCGGCTGCGTCAGCGATAAAGGAACAGGGGGAGACGAGGGTACGCTACTGTGGACGAGAGGTTGATGAGCGACGCGAGGCTGACGAGCCACGCGACGCGGTTGCGCGTCACACGAAAGGCCCCGGCGTCGGCGACCTTGGCCATTAGAGGACGGACGCTTGAAATAGGCGGCCAGTGGGTTTTCTTCCGCAGTGCTAGTGGCGTTACTTGACAGCATCAAACTAACCCATTCGGCGACGACTGTAGTACTTGCTACTATCGATGAAAGCTCAGGTACAGAGGACGCTTCATCGCGACCACAGATGTAGCAGATGGCAATGAACGGGCGAGCATATGGGTTGCAACTCACCCAAGACTGCGGACGGGAAGAGACTTTTGGTAGCCTTTGGTCGCTGTCGAAGCGCCATCGACCGTCTTCCTCTCCGTACAAACTCGAGTCTCGTTCTTGTCCAAGCGGTAGGGCTCGGTGGCGTTGCCATTTTGACCGAGGTCCTTCTTAGAGATCGTCGACAGGCCATTGACAGCCCGTGACGCGGGAGCCAATCAAATCGATCGGTCGTCTTGAGCGAGTGACCACAGAAGTTTGCGCGCCAAAACGCTCGGCGCCGACGGGGCGATTCGAATCCGGTATCTTTCCGGATAATCACGAGGGAACGCATCGGATTGGCCCACAATGAAACCTCTCACACTGCATACATGCACTTTATGCATACTCCAAATACCAGTCCTGGTGCTATACTACCTGTCAGAATGCATATCCTGCCATATCGGATCCAAGTCGACAGCCCCAAAAAGCACCAATCAAAACGAACCCGCCACAATTCAATTTCCCGTTTCAAGGCAGATGGAAGCGCTCGCGGCCCATGCGCTCTTCGGGTACACGGTGCATGATCCGATGCTCAAGGAGTCGATCAGCACGGTGCATGAGCTCCTCGAGGTAGACGCGCTGGCATGGCCATGGCTCATAACCTCGCGTCCTAGTCGGCCAGCCACGAGGTTGACATCGTCGAGATCCTCTCGGACGCGCTCGACGACGTCGAGGAGACCATCAAGGCGGCGCCGTCGTCGCTCAACGAGTACGGCTACCTCCTCGCGAGCGTGGCCAACCTCCGCGACGAGGTCGAGTTTAGCATCGGCGCCGCCGAGCCCGTCAAGGCCAAGGCCGACATGGCGACGTATGAATTTTCACAGGCCATACAGTGGCGAACCGACCTCCCGGTAACCGACGGCTACACCGCGCTCTCGACGCTACCTGCGGCGTCGCCGCCCAGCGCGCCGTCCGAAGTCCGCTGCGATGTGTGTGCGGGCGACGTCTCGTTCGCCGACGACCGGATCGTCATCTGCGACGAGTGCGACGTACGTAGTCCTACTCTCTCCACGCTGCACGAACGCATCTCAACTAGGTCGCCGTGCACGAGTCGTGCTACGACATCAAGCGCGTGCCCGACTCGGCGTGGTACTGCCACTTTTGCGCCTCGAACCGGATTTCGTGCGAGAGCGACCTCGCGGCCTGCGCCGCCTGCAACCACCTCGGCGGCGCGCTCGTCCCGACGCTCAACGGCAAGTGGGTGCACATGGCGTGCACGCTGTACCTCCCGGAACTCTACTTCATCCACGACAAGGTCGAGGGCATCGAGCTTCTCAAGCCGCGGCGCAAGCTCAAGTGCTCTCTGTGCAGGAAGGCCGACAATGCGGCGTGCGTGCAGTGCTGCGCCGGCAAGTGCCCGACGGCCTACCACGTCATGTGCGCGCTCCGGTCCGGCGTCACCTTTACGCGCCACGAAGACACGTACGTGAGCTACTGCAAGGTGCACGCCGAGGCCACGCACAGTGGAGGCAACTTGCCTGTCGTCCGCCACGACGCACGACCGTCAACGAAGCGGTCGGGAGCGTTGACAGCACGCCTTCTCGCCCTCCCGCCGTCACCGCCGCTGCAAGCCGCCAAGCCACCGACGTCAACACCCGCCAAGCCGCCGACGCCGTCGAAACCTCCGATGACAACACCCGTCAAGCCGTCAAAACCTCCAATGACAACGCCTGCCAAGGCCTCGTCCAAGCTGTTGACGCCATCCAAGCCCACGCCCGTCAAGCCTTCGACGATCGAGATGACGCCGACGAAAGCGCCACGCAGCATCGCGATGAAGGCACCGCGCCCCGAGTATTTTCAAACCAAGCTCACTGCGTCGGTAGCCAAGCCCAAGGCGCGCAAGAACAAGGAGCTCCAGGAGCAGATCAAGGCCGTGGGCGCTAATCTCTTTGACTGCCCCGTCTTTGTGCCGATCGTGCGCTCGAACGGCGAGTACATCATGTGTCTCGTGCCGGCGCTGCCGCTCGGCATCGAGTTTGATCCGACCGCGCTTCTGCAGCAGAAGAAGTACATTGTCGAGTACCCGAGCGACCCGAGCCCGCACGGCGTGTTCACCTATGCGTATGCCCACGGCTACCTCGCCCCGTAAGCATATCCTGGTACTGCGCTAGATCTCTTATGCTGCGTTAGTGGCGACGAGCTCTGCGCGATCAACTCGATGCCGCTCGCCAACATTTCGCCGACGCATATGAAGGACGAGATCCTTCCGCAGTGCAAGCTGCCGATCCAGTGCTGGTTCAAAAAGAAGGTGCCGCTGCCCACCGATGGCTCGCGCGCCGTCGAGCCGAGTGGCGTCGACGCACCCACGTCCAACGAAGAGTGGCCGTGGTGCTACCTCCGGTCGGACGGGAAGCTCGCCATGCCCCGCATCTGGTCCGTCTTTGATGAAATGTACCACGGCACGAGCGTCGACACTTCGGTTCTTATTGCCGCAATATGTTGAGTGCACTCAGGCGTGTGTAGGCACTGCTCGAGTCGCTGCGCAGTCCCGAGAGCTTGTATGTGATCCCGCCCATTGGCTTCTCCGACATCCCGGACGTCGTTTACGCAAAGCGCAAGGAGCTTCGCGCGGCCCAAGCCGCAATTCCTGTCGCCGCGCTGCCGCCGCTCGACGTGGGCACGATGGTCAAGGTCGCCAAGCGGACGTGGCCCGGCATCAACAAGCTCGGCGGCACAGGGCGCGTCAAGGCCCGACGACCTGGTATGTTTCTTAGTTTCTGATTTTATTCGAATGCGACCGTGCCCGTAGTCGGCGACGGCTTTACGTACGACGTGGTGTATGTGCTTGGCGGACGTGAGAACCAGATTGAGCGACAGTACGTGACGCCCGTGACGATGGACGACCCAGTCGGCGCGACGCCGTCGGACGCCAACGACGCGACGTACGACGAAGCGTGGACGCTCCAGGCCACGCTCGTCGCCATGGTCCCCATGGCCGGGATGGAGCCATGTGCAACATCGTTTCAAGTCACGTTCCGCGTCGAGTGCGAGACGGACGCCATCGTCGAAACCTCGAAAGCGACCATGGAAGCACTGCCGGAAGGCGTCTCGCTGCGTCTCAACGCTGTCACCGATGTGCTGGAAGACGGCGTGCCAGACGAGATTGGTCCGCAGCTCCAGGCGCTGCACGAGCAACTGCGGACGGTCGATGCGTCAACGAAAGCAACCTTTGAGAAGCTGTCGTTGCTCCTCGAGAAAGAGAAGAAACGCGCGTACTTTGCGGCCATGGAAGGTACCTCTAAAGAGCGGTGTTCCAGTGCGATACACGAGCATGGATAGCGCTCACCAACCGGCAGTACGAAGAGATGTACGCAAAAATGATGGCGCTCCACGAAGAACACTACGGCCCCGTCAACCCGCCGCCGACACCGGTATCCTCTTTGCTCAACATGGTGCAATATTCGATGCTCGTGTAGAAGACGGCCAAGACCGTGGCGCTTGTGCCGTCGTCCGGGCAGGTGCCAGTACCCACACTCGACCTCACATCTGCCAACGAAGACAAAAACGACGACGATGACGAGGACGACGTGGACCTGCCGCTCTTTATCACGGACAAGCAAGAAGAGAGCTCAGCGACGTGCGTCTTGTGCCTGATTCCCGGCGGCGACCTCGCGGCCACGTCGTGCGGCCAAGTCGCGCACATCATGTGCCTCCTGTACACGCCCGAGACGTACTTTGACGAGCACCTCGGGTACGGCATCGCCAACGTGCCGGCCGAGCGCCAAAGCCTCGTGTGCGTCATTTGCCGGAAGAAGGTCGGCGTCAACAAGCTCCAGTGCGCGAGCAAAAAATGCACCAAGTCGTACCACGTGCAGGTGCGGTCTCGTCCTTCTTCTCGTCTCGATACGACGTTGTTGCTGTGCTAGTGCGCGTACGTGCACGGTCTTCTCACCACGTACCCTTCGTTTGCCGGGTGGTGCCCCAAGCACCTCGCCAAGGCCGACCCGCAGACACAAGCGTCCATCGACTGGCCGCCGCACATCAAGAAGCAGCTCATCAAAGAAGGCAAGCTCTTAGAAGACAACGATGAGAGTCTGCTCCTGCCGCCGCTGCCCGACGCCAGCGCCATCCCGCCCCACAAACGCACGACGCCACTCAAGCAGCAGCAGCAGAAAAAGCCTGCACGAAAGCGCAAGTCGGACGTGTTGCCGTCGCCCAAGCCGTCGCCGCCCGCAAGCGACAACGAGGCGCCGCCCGCGAGCGACCGTGAAACACCGCCGAGTGTGGCAGTGTTTAGCGTGGGCGACACGGTGCGCGTGACGGAGCGGACGTGGAAGGGCATCAACAAGCCCGGCGGCGTCGCGCGTATCAAGAAGAAGCACGCGATCTCGGCCGATGCGGTGACGTACGACGTCGAGTACATTTTGGGCGGCGCCGAGAAGGCGGTGGAAGCCATGTACATAGCGCCCCACGTGGCCGATGTGAGCGGCAAGAAGCGCCGACGCACGATTAACGCCACGTACGAGTTTGACTAGAGATCATAATCTTATTCCTATATATATATCACGTGTCGAGGAGCTTGACGCAGCGTTGGCTGGTTGCTCGTCCAGAGATCGTCGTCGTCACTAGACTTGGAGGGGACGTGCCAGGGCGACCGCAGACTCGACGTCGCTACTTCATTCTGGCGGCCGTAGCAGTACGGACCAGCTACGTCGTCCGAGTCAAGCCGAGCGACTCGAAATGAGCAGCCTCTACCAGCGCGGGGTTTGTGGCCGCAAAAGCAGTAGGTGCATAAATCGACGTTGAGACTTCACTGGGTCCGCACGGCGTACGTCTGGATGCAGGCCGAGCACACAACCTACGGGCTAGTTAGTAGAAGACGTCTAGTAGGTTGGTACCTGGTGGCACTTGTAGCAGTGGCGCTTGGAGCCAAAGACACTGAATTTGGACGCGCAGGCTTCGCAGGCGGCAATGGCACCGTCGGGTTTGAACCGGCGCCGAGGCTCTTTGGCAATTTCTGCCATGAGCGCCGGAAGCCGCGTGAGTGCAAAGTGGTGCTCGACGTTGAGCATCTATCGAATCAGATAATTTCTTGTGAGTTTTGGTTTCGCTTTGTTTTTGAGGAATGGGGAATTGGACCTGGCTCACAATCTTTTGGAAAATGCGCAGCGAGACAAACTTGGGTACGCTCCCGGGATCCGCGACGATGTACGTGTAGTAGTAGTCGAACTCGCCGTCTTGCGCTTCAAGAAACAAGTGCCCCGACTAGAATGCATAGTCAGAACTTTGGTAGCTCCAAGCGCCAAAATACCCGAATCAGCGCGCCGCGCACAATGTTGTGGGACTTGCGCAGCGACGGGCAGCTGTCCATCGCCACCGAGTGGGTAGCGCGAACGAGCCCCCGTCGGCGCTGACCTGTCGCGGGGTCTGTCACCTCGATGCGCTGGAGTACCTAGTCCAACACAAAAGGTTACGCTAGGACTAGGGTCGACGAGGAATAGGGTCGGCAACGATATATATACCTCGAGAAAGCACGTGTCGCGCTTGAGCGTGAGTGCGGACGACAAGAACGGGTTCTCAATCACGGCCCACTGCACGCTAGCAGCAAGCATACTCGAGTCGCGCGGCGGCAGCTGGTACAAGGTCATGCGGTCGAGGACGGCTTGGCCCACGACGTTGCCGTAGATGCGGACCTTCTCGGGGGTTGTGAGGAGCAGAAAATCGACGAGCTCGTCGATCGTCGTGCGCAATCGCGAGACGCCCGTGAGCCCGTACATGGCCGGGTCAACGAGATCGGTGCCAAAGTGCAGCTATTCATCAATCTCGTCGTATTGGGATATACTCGTGCGGTGGTGCGTACCGTCGCCCGGCGCTTGGTGGCCTCGTTGATGATCTCCTTCGATGGCGGCCGCTGGGCCATCGTGAGCGCATTGAGCGCCGTGTCATGGCAGACGGCGGCAGCGAGGTCGAGGAGGTCGTGCTCTTCGCTTTGCGGCAGCGGGCGGCAGTCGAAGAAGTCGCGCGGAAGTGGGAGGCTCATGGGGAAATGCAAACTGATAGGACCGCCCGCGTGTGCAATTCCAACAAAAATCATTGCAAGAAGATCGCCATGTGAACCTGGGGTGCGCGAACGTTGTAATCATTTTATCTCTTGTATGCGAGCACAGGTGCGCGCACTGGAGATGCAAGCCATGTGATTGGCGGATGAGAACAGGACTGCCATCCCCACGGGTGTCTCGCGCAACTGTGTCGAGTTACTCACTCTGATGCAGCACGGAACGATTGGATCGCATTTGAAAAGATGTAGCTATGTTCTGTTGTATAATCTGCCGAGTTAGTCAACATACAACATCCTTGCAGTAATCACAACAAACGCCAGCGAGATTCCGTCCTCGCCGCTTCAACACGGACACCGGTCCTCGAGTGTCGTGAGGGTGCGCCACTGCTACTACAGTAAAACGATCCCAGGCTCACGGATTCGAGCAGCCACGTGGCCGCCACTCTATCGTGGACTTCATGTGCGAATAACGTTATATCCTAGCACATCAGCGCTCAGTCCGCGAAAGCAAGATGGTAATATGATACAAGTTGATGCACGAGGTCGGACTTGTCTACGACGGTCAGCTTGCTTGTGCGAGCTACTTGAGCGAAATGTAGTTTGCAACTGCACGCTCGATTGAGCTCATGGTCGTTGCATCTCTCAACCTCGGTGCCGAATTAGGCCATTAACAATAAGTTTTTGAAGAATTGGCATCCGCTAAAACGTCACCAACAAGATACAATTGTACGGGAGCATCAGACTAACGTGAACAATCCAGAGGCAATTCTAAAGCTTCTCACCTTCTGGCAGCCATGTCCAATGCTGTGAGCACCAAGTATTCGAGCGACCCAACAGTACAAGCGCAGTGTCTTGGGCTTGTGTTGCGGTTCTGAAGAAATGTGTAGTTGCGAGTGTTGGGGTGGGGGTGGCGCACGCGCACACCCCCGCTGGCAAAAATTGCGCTGTGGAGGAACCCGAAGGCACTCCTAGACCATTACAGCACCGGAGTGCATGAAGGCCTGCTCCGGCCCAAGTCAACCCCCGAGTTGATC